CACACACACACAAATTCATTTATTTCTAGGCCAGGATCTACAATACCATATTCATCACGAGAATTGTTGTCGTCTGAGGCCGACCAACTGAATGACGCAATCCACATGCGTGACCCGAGCGTTCGTCAGCACAACGGCAGCTGTCGCTACACAATATTTAAAATCCGGATTTGTGTTCTCCGTCGTTTTCTAAGGAACGAGTTACGTCACAGAGCCAAACTTATTACGCTAATATGACAAATTAGGACAATGTGATCAATTAGTTACGGCATCTGTTAGGCAATCGAGTTGCTGGAATTAATTACATTAATTAGGGAAGCAAACAAGGTAATCGCGGCTGTCTTTCAATTTCAAAACATCGGGATAAGGGCATTTAATTGCTTTATGAAAAGAGATGAATGAAAATTTTTAAATTCTTCTTCATTAATCCTGATTACTTTTTGCACTTTTTTTTTAGGAATAACGGCAGCAGAACTCTCTCTCTCTCTCTCTCTCTCTCTCTCTCTCTCTCTCTCTCTCTCTCTCTCTCTCTCTCTCTCTCTCTCTCTCTCTCTCTCTCTCTCTCTCTCTCTCATTTCTCTAAGTCTTTCCTCCATTAATTTCTTAGGTTCATAAGTGAAAGTCAGCAAGTTTGTAGCCGAGTTATTGGAAGGAGGGAGAAACATAAAGTGGTGGCGGTGATGATGATGATGGTGATGATGGTGATGATGGTGATGATGGTGATGATGGTGATGATGGTGATGATGGTGATGATGGTGATGGGAGGGGTTGTGAGGGCGATGGTCAAACTTACTAAATGGTACAACACAGGAACCTGGAATGTATACAAGCAGGTGTTCGAGAGCCCAGAATTTGTTCATACAGATTGTCTTGACGACTCCATGAATCTGGAAGCGCTGGAGAGAGAGAGAGGAGAGAGAGAGAGAGAGAGAGAGAGAGAGAGAGAGAGAGACTCCCTAACGATAAATCTGAGTAATCAACAGCAAGGAATGACTCGAAGAAGTTGAATGATGCAATGATCACTTCGGAAACTGGAATTCTATGCCAGACCTGGAACAGTATGCCCTCGCTCTTTCAACAGCAGTCTGACCTTGCAGAAATCTCGAATTGATCTTTACACTGCTTTAAATCCTACGAGGAATCTTAGAGCTGCTCTTTAAAGAAGAAATTTTTTGGTAAGTCTGAGACGCAGAGGATGTCAAGAACAATTAGCCAGAATTGTAAACTATTCATGTAGATCATAAACGTCTATTGATTTTCCATAACTACATTCACGACCATAAAATAAGATGTATATTTTAAGAATATAATATATATATTTTATATAAGATATAAAATATATATATATATATATATATATATATATATACAATAAGATCACAGTAAACAGATGATATCACAATATGTAGAACAACCACTGTGAAAAATTGTGAAATTTTAAGCGCTTTCGTGACTTCTCACATTATCAAGGAAATATAAAGATTAAAGGTTAACAGGAAGGCATATAAGGACAAGACTACACCTCGCTGCCACCCACAACAACACATGACTTTTTATGATGATGTAGATATAAACCATTTCCTTGATAAATTAAATAGTTTAGCTCATTCTGTAAATTTTACTGTTGAGTTCGAAGAAAATAACTCATTGCCTTTCCTAAATGTTTTAATTATTAAGGGTAATAATGATTTTAAATTTAAAGTTTACGGAAAACCAACAAATAACTGTTCCTATGTCCACTATTATTCCTCGCATCAAGATAGAGTTAAACTGTCTGTTTTCTCATCAATGTTTTTGAGAGCTTTACGAATTTGTAGTCCTGAGTTCATAGATGAGGAAATATCCAAAATTTATGAAATAGGTAATGATTTAAAATACCCAAGAAATGTAATTGATAAATCTTTTAAAGTTGCTAGAAATACTTTTTACAATCCAAACAGGGGCAACCAGCCTTATTCATCTAAAAATATGTTGGTTCTCCCTTACCATGAAAACTTGGTTGATATGCCTTCTCTTCTTAAGACTTTTAATATTAAAGTTGTATTTAAAAATCTTGATACAGTTAAAAAACTTTTGATAAAGAATTCCCCCCAAAATGCTGATGGATGTGTCTATAAGATTCCTTGTAAAATTTGCGATAAAGTTTATTACGGTCAAACTGGTAAAAATCTCGAACTAAGATTAAAACAACATAAATATAGCATTAGAACTGGACAAGATTCCAATGCTCTGTTTATTCATGCGAGAGATTTTAACCATCCAATTGATTTTCAAAAGTCCATGGTAGACAGGAATATAATAGAATCACGTTTCAGAAAAAGTAGTTTTGAAAATATGAATATTTATTTTGGTTTATATATATTGGGTTCATTTATAATTAATAAATTTTGAGAGAAATTTAAGATACATTAGAAATTTTTTTGGATAGAATATAAGCAGTGTTTCACGGATCACTGACTACCTACCTACATCATCATAAAGTCAGGTGTTGTTGTGGGATGGCAGCGAGGTGTAGTCTCGTCTTTATATGCCTTTCTGTTAACCTTTGATTTTTATAGTTTCTTGATAATATGAGAAGTCACGAAAACGCTTGGAATATCGCTATTTTTTCACAGTGGTTGTTCTGAATATATATATAATATATAATATATATATATAAATATATATATATATATATATATAATATATATATATATATATATTTTCTTTTCAACAAACCGGCCGTATTCCACCAAGGCAGGGTGGCCCAAAAAGAAAACCGAAAGATAGATATAAATATATATATATAATATATATATATATATATATATATATATATATAATATATATATATATATATATATATATAATATATATATATATATATATGCAATAAGATCACAGTAAACAAGCGACTTCAGAATATGGAAAACAACTACTGTGAAAGAATGGTGAAATTCCAAGCGCTTTCGTGACTACTCACATGATAATGTGAGTAGTCACAAAAGCGTTTGGAATTTCACTATTCTTTCACAGTCGTTGTTTTCCATACATATATAATATATATATATATATATATATATATAATATATATATATATATATATATAATATATATATATATATATATATATATAAATATATATATATATATTGGATTACCAAAACTGTTGTCCAGAGGCTGAGGAAGGGTTGTTGAGTGGTTCGGACATGTAGAGAGAATGGAGCGAAACAGAATAACTTCAAGAGTGTATCAGTCTGTAGTGGAAGGAAGGCGGGGTAGGGGTCGGCCTAGGAAAGGTTGGAGGGAGGGGGTAAAGGAGGTTTTGTGTGCGAGGGGCTTGGACTTCCAGCAGGCATGCGTGAGCGTGTTTGATAGGAGTGAATGGAGACAAATGGTTTTTAATACTTGACGTGCTGTTGGAGTGTGAGCAAAGTAACATTTATGAAGGGATTCAGGGAAACCGGCAGGCCGGACTTGAGTCCTGGAGATGGGAAGTACAGTGCCTGCACTCTGAAGGAGGGGTGTTAATGTTGCAGTTTAAAAACTGTAGTGTAAAGCACCCTTCTGGCAAGACAGTGATGGAGTGAATGATGGTGAAAGTTTTTCTTTTTCGGGCCACCCTGCCTTGGTGGGAATCGGCCAGTGTGATAAAAAAAAATATATACACGCACACACAAAGCGCTTAGTTTTAACATTGTGAAAACATTCACCATTTAGTACATTGCTGGCGTCACCTTTGTAATAGCCTTTAATGAACACCTGATCCTGAAGGAGGAGAATCCTTCGAGACTCATAATTTAGATGCTTCATAAGACCACCTGAACACCCGTCATGACGACCGCTCGTTAAGCATATTAATCATCTTAAATAACAATGTAGTTTCCTCACTGTTTCCTTCAAGAAGCTGCGAGAGAAGTTAAACATTTGGACCAACTGAGAAATTTTGAAACAGTACAAGCAGGCAGAGGTAAATGATAATATTTCGATCTGTACAATTATTATTGTGTATCTCTGATGGGAGACCTTAAGTAGTTGCTTGATTTTTTTTTCCCCCCGTTTTTCTCCAACTTTTCGCTTTCATTTCTCTCGTAACACGAGAATGCCTCATCCGGCAGGCTTCAGATTTTCTATACTGGTGTATGGTAACTCGGTCAAGAGTCTTGGAACAATTGGAAGGTGCAGGTGACGTATGCCTTCCGCTGGCTTGCCGGTCAACCCCTTTAAAAAACTATGCTCATAGTTATAACCATTTTTAATAATATGGTGTTTCTTAAATTGGAAGTTTTTTTTTTTTGTGCTGAATTTGAACTACGTAAGAGCCATCTTGCCAGTTTTATAAAAATGTATCTAATTGGACTTCAGCACAAACTCAATAGTTTTTTCCTTATAGAGTTTCAACAAGTTATAAATAGAGCATAACTGGAAAAAAAATCTGAAAAAAATCTTAAAAACTTGAGTGATCTTCGTTGGCCTCGTCTAGAGTCTGTCTACTACACAACATTCATTCCTCGTAGTGACTATTTTCTGTGGTTCAAGTATTCGCTTTTATTCATCACAACACTTTTTATTTTACCCCAGTTTGCTTCACCAATTCGCTAAGTAAACTTCTATGTGACACAGTATCAAGGGATGAATGGGTGTGACACAGTATCAAGAGATCAAGGGGTGTGACACAGTATCAAGGGATCAAGGGGTGTGACACAGTATCAAGGGATCAAGGGGTGTGACACAGTATCAAGGGATGAATGGGTGTGACACAGTATCAAAGGATCAAGGGGTGTGACACAGTATCAAGGGATGAATGGGTGTGACACAGTATCAAAGGATCAAGGGGTGTGACACAGTATCAAGGGATGAATGGGTGTGACACAGTATCAAGGGATCAAGGGGTTTGACACAGTATCAAGGGATCAAGGGGTTTCTTATAATCAGGAGATTTACAGACCGTCCATCCCTTTGCTTCCTCTGTAATACTTGCTAATTTATCGTATGTTTATTTATGATAAGCAAGCACACACTTCCATTTCTGAACAGTTATTGGTAAGCTGTGAGGAATTTAACACTTTCTAAATGTCCATAGTACAGTAAGTCTTGTAATGTTTTCCAGCACTTGACATGTTACTCTCCTCCAGGACTCTGATCTGTAATTATTATTATATTCAGTGGAAAGTACTTAAACCTTAGAGGTCACATAGAACATGTGGAAAACAAATGGAGAAATTGTGATATTTTATTCGAGATTTTCACCGGCATAAAGTCACCCTTGTTGAGGGAACTCAGTTTTATGTCACCTTCCTTGAATACTGGTAATTAGTAGTAATTTATTTTGATATGTGTAGAGTAATTTGCACAGTTTCATTTTCTCTTTATTCTCATGGCGATATTCTACCTGGCACTGATGCCACTGACGTGGCACGTTCCATCGATATTCTCTGTTTATCGTTATAGTCGCTCTCAGTGTTCGATGGCTAAGCTTGTTTTATCCTTCGTCTCATCTCTGGAACCTGCTCGTGAGCATCGTTCGGTGACGCTCTTACACTAAGTAGACGCAAGTGACCTCCGATGACACCCAGAAGATAACTGATAACTGACACTCGGGGAACAAGCTTGAGCCTTGTGCTTCATGGTTGATCAGTACTCATCGTGGAATGGAAAGTACGGGTGATCACTGGTCCTGAAGGAAGGAATGAATGTCGGTGAATATTCACTGGAGCATAAACATATGTCTTCATTTATACAATTTATAGGTGTAGATACGCTGAGATAAACACACCTCTGTGCACATGTAGAGAAAAATATATACGGTATATAACACTTGCGAATTACTACTTACTCAGCAACGGCACAGACGCGTCCATTGCAGTCCAGACTCTCCAAGAGTTTTATGTCCTCTGGCGACAACTGGAAGTCCCAGATCTGCAACACGTAAAATAATAATAGTAATATGAATTGCTGTAGCTTTGGAGACACCTAGAATTTGATGATAGGTGCATATTTACCTAACGTGATCAATCAAGCTGTTGTGCCCACGGCTCTACATGACGTAATGTCGTGCTGGCTTGATGAGGCTCTACACTGAGCAAAATTTTCTGCAACCTTTGTCTTTCCTTCACGGTGTGGCCTACATTGCAATACTTGCAGCGTATACTAACAACCAGGTTAACCAGAACAGTGTTAGGAGACCTGGTCTGAAACCGGGCCGAAGGGAGGCGCTCCCTGCAACCACCAACAGGTTAAACTAAATTAAACCTTTTATCGTACCTGGAAATTCTCTTCGATGCGAGACTTGGTGACAGATTTTGGAATCACAATCAACCCACGGTCAACCTGCAAAGATTTTCTTCCATATTATATCATCGATTTAACAAGAAACTCACATTTATTCAATACAATTTACATGTAAATAAAAATTCAAGTGCAAAAGTAGAATGTCTGCACTTCATCCGTATTTATTTAGTTACAAATTATTCATAACCATGACAAAAGTCACTTCATTAAACCCACCCAAAGTATACAGGTCACTTAACATTTCTTCTTCTTACCCGTAACCTTTTTCTCCACTGTTCTTTCCTTCCCCAGTCATACACATTGTACAGTCTTGCCAACCCTCATACAGCCTAGCAATAAAAATGATGTTTACTGACGGTAGTGTGAGGCGCCTTACTTCAAGACCAGTAACATCTGTTGTTAAACCAAGCCGATGAACTGCAGATTGTCATTTTGAGCAAATACATTGGTATAGATTGCTACCTAGTTTAACTTACTGAATTAAAACTACAACTCCCATACACGCTTATGTTCAGAATATTTTAAACCCTATAATATGAATACAAATAAATTCTCAATACACATACACATCTCGGTGTATATAAACCATGACATGCCCGAAATGATTCTATAACATATGGTTGTCCTTAGAATATATAAGATGTAATTCTAGAGGTGAATCAATACCCTGTAATTCAGATCACTAGTCACATTATTATGAGATCACTTGTTATAAAATACCTGTCACAGTGATAACATCTGTTATAGCATCACCGTGAAAACACCTGTTATAGCATCACCGTGAAAACACCTGTTATAGCATCACCGTGAAAACATCTGTTATAGCATCACCGTGAAAACACCTGTTATAGCATCACCGTGACAACACCTGTTATAGAATCACCACTATAACATCTGTGTAGCTGACCTGGAAGCGGATGAGAATCTGTGCTGGCGACTTATTGTACTTCTGGGCGAGAGTCTTGACCTTAGGCTCCTCCGTCAATACTGGGTCACCTGGCTTTGCCCACGGTCTGTTCGTGTCAGAAATAGGAACAGAAAAAGTTAGCATTGCGTGAAGAGAAGGGAGCTTTCTGTTTTTCTATCCTTGATCCATATGCCTAGATAATACACGGTAGTCCTTAATCTAGGTAGAAGTAAATAGGTCTTCTCAGCAGATAGCCTCGGTGTGGACTTCGAAATCCTCTGATATCTGTCATTCATATATACTCCCATCTACAAAATTACGTAAAGTTAACGTAAACATAATCAAAATGCCTTTATTATTTTTTTACCGTTTATCAATACATTATTCTAGTGGGCAGAGGCATTTTCGAACTTTTTACTGACTGCTGGCGTTTCTGCTCTGCAAGGAATCCCTTTATATCCCTTTTTCACTTGGGAAGTGAGTTCGCCTACACCTGCAGATTCTTAGAGGGATGATGCATGTAACACGGGAATTCAATGTTGAATAGACTCAATCATCCACTGATCTTTATTGTTTAAACTCAGGTGGGCATATATTTTCGATCCAGTGGCTGCATTGTTAGTTCAATATTGAGTAAGGGCAGAGAAAAACCACTGCCACTGATTTAAAGATTTATTCACGGTTGTTGATGTACAGTGGTTAATTTGGGATAAAAAAAATATGTTATGACGTGCATCTCGCCTGGCTTTATTGTGGGTGTAGAGTAGGAGAGTGAGAATGGTGTGTGACCAGCAGATGTAGGGTGGACCGGTCAACATGTGTTTTGTTTATTTCATGTTCGCCTATTACAAGACTCTAGTTTCATTTAGTTTTTGTGTAATGCTTTTTATAGCAGGTGTTGCAGGACACCGTGGTATATGTATTGATGATGTGCAGTGAGGTATTTTTGGGGGTGTAAATATTTGCTTCAGTATATGCTTTCTCTTTAAAATTAGCCTTCATTCAACCTTTTTTTATGATCATCCATTGCGTGTATAATTCATATAGGCTACATCTTCAACGCTTTTCATTCAGTTTACGAGAGAGTCCGGCCCTAGGCTGGATTTTGTTTCAATATTTTGATTAAGGCCAATTTGTTTTGCCCATAGGCAGCTGTTCATCCCTGGAGGTCATACAGGAAGAGGTTTTATGCGCATAGTGGTTCTGTTTACTGTTCCAGTGGAAACTAGCACAGTATTAATAAGTAACATACATGTGCAGCACTTGGGTATCTTTATTGGCGTTCCATATTCACAGAAAGCTTCTGCTGAATAAAGGCGAATATAACACGAGAGCGAAAATGGAGAGATAATTTGGAGGTCAGTCCCTCAGGCTAGATAAGGGGGGGAGGGGTACTCGCCTTTCCACAGTGTTACCATAGATGGCGCTGTTTCCAAACAACGAGTGACACAACAATGAGTCAAGAGTCCTTACCCACCTCCACAGTTAGTACTCACCTGTCTGGAGACCCAAGAGGACTGTAGGCTGTAACAGTGATGTTTTTACTCTTGCAAAATTCAATCATTTTATTCTGAGGCAGATAGGGATGTATTTCGATCTAGAATAGAAAATATTTTGTTAATTGAATCATTCCGTATTTCGATATCTAATATATTCCGTGTTGGTGGGAAATGTTTTGTACTAGAAAGATGACAAAATCTTGTCACTACCTCAAACATTTGTAAGAGTCGGTTCTCTAACATACTGCTGTGTTTACACAGTCGGTCAAGCGAGTTGAACTGCCCTTCCAATATTTTTTATCTGACTCACGAAATCGTAATAGGACGTTCGCCATGGGTTCAAACCCCACTCGTTCCGTGATTTATTTTTTTCCTGTTCGTATATATATAGAGTGGTTTAATTATACTAAATGTGTCTTAAGTCGGTCTAAATTTAATTACCATTATTAAACAAAAAAAGTCTTAATTTTGATATGTTCGTGGAGTTATTAAATCAATGAATTTACACTCGACTGATTTGGATAATCAGATCACAGACTGTGCCTGAAAAGCGTCACAGTGACATATACTGTTGTAGTTAATCTTTGGTCACAATGAATTTTCCAGCCCCACCATCACCCACCTGATTGTTAGCAATGGGGACCTTGGCCACCTTAAGAACACGTTCCAGTTGTTTCTTGTTGAAGTTGGAGACCCCGATGGACCTGGTGAGGCCCAACTTCACACACTCCTCCATTGCTTCCCAGGTTTCCACGTAATCAACGTCACTGTAGAGTCTCTTCCCAGTCGAGTCAGCTGGGAAGAGATCGCCTCCTTCCTGCGGGTTGAAAGGAGATGCGAGACTTAATTAATGGTACTGAGACCTGTGAGATTACACAGCTATAATGGTATCTAACGCTAAATACGAACCAACAGAAGAACTCCCGGAGTAAAATTATCTAACATAAATAAAAACTACTCGAGCGAACATGCTTAACAAATAAATGCATCACACTAAGTAAAATAATCCAAGTCAGAAAGAAAATAAAAGTGTTAACATCAAATACTCCCATAAAAGTTTCCTTTGAGACTGCGTTTGAGGAGATTGGGAGTGAGATGAAAGGTTTTAAAATACATTGAAGGGGTGTAGGAGTGAGCTAGAGGGTTTTAGATGTTCAATGACCGAGGAACTACTGAGTGAAGCTTTAAAAAACATCAAGTTGTTAAATGTTGTAGAGGGTTAGAGTAGGTAAGAATGAGATGTGGTGTTTGAATGTATCAACGAGATGCATTGTAATGTCCACACTTTCGGAAAGACCGCTAGGGAATGAGCGACAGTGCATGTATTTTCTGCTTTGTGTCAACCTAGCGAGAAACATCCTATATGGCTAAAAAATATAAGATACAATGCAATTCTATCAAGCACACGAGACTCCCGATAACTGTTATCACTGAGAGACGTTACAGTCAGGTACTGAATAATGCAAGCCTTATCTGGCAAGACAGTAACTTCACATTTTTCGTTACGTATGTTACAGTGCAGCCCTTAACATTGTCAATTATATTCTTATCCGTAGATAATTTTAATATTTTTGTAATTTATTGAGAGCTTTGATTAGTTCGCCCAATAATAAGTATTTTTAAGACGGGTACTTACGTCAATACTTTTGTTTATATCAGCACTGACCTTGAAACCCCTAGGCAAGCGTGTGAAGAGGTTGAGGTAGGTGAGATAAATAGCTTAGCAAGGCACTGACCTTGAAACCCGTGGGCCTGTGTATGAGGTAGAGGTCAAGGTAGTCGAGGCCAAGGTTTGTCAGGGTGGTCTTGAGGGCTGGCAGCACAGATGACCTCGAGTGGCAAGTATTCCACAGCTGGCCCAAAGAAAACCTTTAATTAACATCTGAAATTAGATATTTCAGTGTACAGTATCACATTACAGTAAATCACACACGTGTGTCATAATATGAAGGGAAATAAAGATTTTGGAAGTATAACTAACATAAGCCTTCTGTGATCCCTGGAAATAGATTAGTTAGGCAGTTTTAATTTTGTAACTATAAGAAGATAAAATGGTTTCATGAAAACAGGTCGTACCTATACAATAAGTGTTGAAGTATGATTAACCAAAAGCCGGGCTCAGGAGTTTATGATTAACCTAGAGCCGGGCTCAGGAGTTTTACTGTAACCTTGAGCACTAATGTTTCCTAAATATATACAAAGAGTTTTATAACTGAAAATTTGAATTCTGTAACTTCTGCCTATGTAGTATGACGGCAAATGACTACCGATAATTAAGGAAAACTGTATCGAATGAATTCACGTGGAACACCTTTATGGTAAACTTTTCGGTCCTTGGACCTTCATCCCTTCAGTCACGTGTATTTGAAGTGATTAAGGCCCATGGTCCGAAAACTTTTTAATAAAGGTATCCCATGTGAATGCGGTTGCTTCCTTTTCCCTCAAGTCGCATCTTTTTCCTCGTGTTATTGCTGTATAAAGAAAAAACATCGACGCCAGATACTCTGACGAACTTCAAGTAGGTACTCTGAAACACCGGTACCTGTGACGTTCACCAGTGTAGATAACCATTATCTCCAGATAATGACCTCCTATTTATAGGGAGACTCGAAATTACTTTGGAGAGAATGAATATTTTTCGTAGAAGTGAATCACACTTTTAAGTCAGTTTCAGCTAGGATGAATAAGTGTAATGAACACTTGTCAGTGCTCAATAATAACCCACATTGAGACAGAAACTATATATTCCTACCCCCCTGCTGGCGTCCTCCAGATTCTTTTTTTTTTTTTCATTTTCTGTCTCCATGAGAGTTATTAATTGTAGATGAATGGTTCAGAGTTATTAATAAATATTAACTTGAATATTTCCACTTGTAGCATCCAGGCACCTTGACGAGTGCTACAAGCAAGACTCATAATTTTATGGGTTAATTTTTTTCCATATTTACACTTTCGTTCATACTTTCGTCATTACCTTACCAGTTAAATCCCTTCGACATGAGGTGTTTTAATGCCTTGATCCACGGAATTAGAGCTATAATTTTCCTCTGATCAAACCTGACTACCTCTCATTCCCCAGTCGTTGTTAACCAGGTTTGCTGGCTTCCCTGTGGATATAATGTTGTCACTAGTTGTTAAGTGGTAATCATACCTTGCTGGTGATGAAGAGTTCATCCCTGGTGACGGTACCGTCCTTGATGACAGCAGCGATGGCAACTCCCACTTCAGGTTCATTGCGGTACACGTGAGCACAGTCAATGTGACGGTAGCCAGCTGTGACGGCGTCTTTCACCGCTGCCGTCACCTCTCCTGGCTTAGACTGTCCCATACATTAACTCTCAGCGTAACTTAATCAAAAATACATATACACATACTTTCCACTCCGTGTTTGATTTTCACTGCATGTGAGATGAACTGCTTCATCTAAACACGACTGAAAGTAAATTTTATTACCATTTATGTATTTATTATGAAGCTGTATAAATCTGGAATAGTGGGGATCGTCCCAAAAAGGTTTTGAGCTCTTGATGATTGAACATCTAGCAGTCTGGTATAAACTTGACAGAACGGAGTGAAAACAAGGGTCTTTATGGTTAACGTGATGGACTATGAGTAAAGTAACATTTATGAAAAGATTCAAGAGTGAGGAATGGTGATGTCTGCACACTTCTGGTCGGAGACGATCAGTGTCTTACAAAATATATATTTATTTTTAATAGAAAGCACGAAAATATAATTCTTTAGATACTCATATATCATTACTAATTAAAAACACTGCATAAGCAGATAAAGAAAAAAATAACATTGAAAAATGCCAAAGGCTTATAAAATTTCGTTATTAAATAGAGATGTTAGCTTAACTAAGATTCGCCAGTAAAGAGGACAAATGCTTTGTGATGTGGGTGTAAGTCTCATGTTGACCCGACACTGGAGATTTTGGTCATACGACAGAGGCCTTCAGCTAGCTCCCGACTCATCCCTTGAAAAACTAATAATAACATTAACTATTTGTATAATTCATATTTTCCTGCAATATTATTCATTGTCTCCGGAGAAATTCAAGCCAATGATGATTCCCAGTTTGAAGGCATTTCCAAATCTAAAAACTCGTCATTCAAGAAAGTTTGTAATGTTTGGTCTACATATAGTGTATGTGTGAGCAGACATCTTCTGTGATGACAGTGAGCCAATCGGAACTTAGATTTTCCGGTGACTGATGCCCACTGTAATATACCTTAGAATATAGGATTATTTATTATATTATTAATAAAATATGAAGCATACAAGTAGTTGTAATTGATATTGAAAGCATCTGAGATTAATATATATATATATATATATATATATATATATATATATATATAATATATATATATATATATATATATTATATAATATATATATAACTACTTTGCCGAGTTTCTGCTTATAATTATAGTAACATTCTTAGTTAGGGGTTATAAAATATGTTTTTCAGCTAGGTTACGCTATGGAGATCAGAGAAGGTTGCTAGTGTACATTGGTGACTGTAGAGTAATTTAGTTATGAGAGTTTGAGATTTTAAATAAGGACTATGCAAGTTTTGTCAGGGGGAAGAGTAACTTTATTTTGTTTTAACTATTTTCCTTGATGCATATTCGTTTTGAAAAAAAGGATCATATACTAGTAGGATTCTTTGATACTCATAGTATTGCTTCAGCAAAATTTAATATATATATATATATACCTCATTCCAGCTACAGAGGTGGTACTTCCCTATATTATATATATAATATATATATATATATTTTATATATATATATATATATAAATTTTATATATATATATAATATTATATAATAAAATTTAATTTCTCTTATACATTTAAAAATATATTTTTTGACCTATGTTAATGTAAAAATTAATGATTTTGTATCAAAAGAACCGTAGAAAACTTACCTAACCTTATTATAACACGCGCAATTTAATTTAGACTAATCCAGATAAATATATTTTATTAGGCAGAGCTGGTGATGTGCTACATCAGAGAAAATAATAGCCATCCTCTTCCCAAACTTAAGTGAGAAGAAAATCGAATATAATGTGATCTTTAGATTTTTACGTGGTGGATGGAAAAGCCAGCGGAAGGTCTCAATCAAAGAATCAAAAGCTCCAGTTAACGGATTACCATATGATGACTAGCTAATTGGATTAGGACACACTTGTTTCCTGACGAGAAAACTCCATCACCCATTGCGTAACCTTAAGTGGATATTTATCACATTACCTCACGCATGTAAATCACGCTAATATTCATGCTCTTTAAAAATTACGTCACTTAGATATATTAAATATTTCTCTATTTTATATTTAGTGTTAATATTGTAGCATGGTCAACATTATTTTATATTTACTGGAAAATATGGACACACACACACATTGATGTGAAGCTAATGAGGAGAATTCAAACGGATGAGGATCGGGTAGAACTAGAAAGGGATCTGGACAGGCTGCAAGCCTGTCCAGAAACTGGCTGCTGGAGTTTAACCCCACCAAGTGTAAAGTCATGAAGATTGGGGAAGGTCAGAGGAGACCGCAGGCTAGGAGACCAAATGCTGCAAACCTCAGTCAAGGAAAAGGCTCTTGAGGCGAGTATCATACCGAACACATCTCCTGAGGCGAACATCAACCAAATACCTGCTGCAGCATGTGGGCGCCTGGCAAACCTAAGAATAGCATTTCAACACCTGAGTAAGGAGTCATTCAAGACATTACACCGTATACGTCAGGCCCTTATTGGAGTATGTAGCACCAGTCTGGAGGCAGGACCCATGCTTAGGTTTAAGAAGAGATACGTATGATAAAGCTCATGGAGCAGGGAGAGATGGGCCTAGTAGTGAGTACAAATAGGTGAGTTCACACACACACACACACACACACACACACACACACACACACATACACACACACACACACACACACACACACACACACACACACACACACACACACACACACACACACACACACACACACACACACACACACAAGACAAGGGGAAAAAGAAGCAATTGAAAGCATCATGAAAGCAATAGGAGAAGACGACATGACCCAGCTGGAAAATTTTCGGAGAATAGGGGGGTTTGTAAAAAAAAGAACCCGGCCAGTGAGAGTGACCTTCAAGGCAGAAGCGACTCAGACCAGGATCCTGCAGGAGAAAGCACGATTAAGGGACATGCCTGCATACAGGAAGGTGTATCTCGACCACGACAGAACACAAGAAGAAAGGCAGAAACTGAGAGAGATGGTACAAAGGCGAAAGGAGGAAAGAGAGGGGATGGAGAAGACAGACAGGAGATCCCAGACCCAGGAAGAAGATCAAATACAGCCTCCCTCACAACTTCCTATAGAAGCCTCCCAACCAGGTCAACCCCAGTGCAACCAAACACTCTAAATCAAAACACTCATGCCACATCCAATGCCCCCACCCACTACATTACAAACTCCACCCCCACAGCAACAACCCATAGTTCCTTACCAGGTCTCCCACTTCCCCAACCCCAATATACCTCCCAGACCACAGTCTTAGAAAAGAAGTTGAAGGTGTGGTATACAAATGCAGATGGAATAACAAACAAGTATGAGGAGTGGCGCGAAAGAATCAAAGAGACATCTCCAGACATAATAGCACTCACAGAAACAAAACTCACCAGAATAATAACAGATTCAATCTTTCCATCCGGATATCAAATCCTCAGGAAAGACAGAGGGAGGAGAGGGGGAGGAGGAGTTGCACTGCTCATTAAAAACCAGTGGGGTTTTGAGAAAATGGAAGGAATGGATGGCACATTACTATAGTAATGTACAACCCACCACAGAACTGCAGGAGGCCAAGAGAAGAATACGATGTGAGCAACAGAGCAATGATCGACACACTAGCCGAGGTGGCCAGGAGAGCACACATGGGGGGAGCAAAGTTACTAGTTATGGGTGATTTCAATCACAAGGAGATTAACTGGGAAAACCTGGAGCCCCATGGGGGTCCCGAAACATGGAGAGCCAAGATGATGGATGTGGTACTGGAAAACCTCATGCATCAACATGTTAGAGACACTACCAGAGAGAGAGGAGAGGATGAACCAGCAAGGCTGGACCTTGTATTCACCATGAGTAGTTCGGACATCGAGGGTATCATGTATGAAAGGCCCCTGGGAGCTAGTGATCATGTGGTTCTGTGCTTCGACTGCATAGTTGAGCTCCAAGTGGAGAGAGTAGCAGGAATAGGCTGGGAAAAACCAAACTACAAAAGGGGGAACTACTCAGGCATGAGGAACTTCCTTCAAGATATTCAGTGGGAGAGGGAACTGACAGGAAAACCAGTACAAGAAATGATGGACTATGTAGCAACAAAATGCAAGCAGGCAGAGGAGAGGTTTGTTCCCAAGGGAAACAGAAACAATGGGGGGAAGAACAGAACGAGTCCTTGGTTCAACCAAAGGTGTAGGGAGGCAAAAACTAGGTGTACTAGAGAATGGAAAAGGTACAGAAGACAGAGAACTCAGGAAAATAAAGAAATCAGCCGAAGAGCCAGAAACGAATATGCACAGATAAGAGGGAGGCTCAGAGACAATATGAAAATGACATAGCATCAAAAGTAAAGACTGACCCAAAGCTGTTGTACAGCCACATCAGGAGGAAAACAACAGTCAAGGACCAGGTAATCAGACTGAGGAAGGGTGATGGGAATTCACAAGAAACGACCGAGAGGTTTGTCAGGAGCTCAACACAAGATTTAAAGAGGTATTTACAGTGGAAACCAGTAGGACTCCAAGAAATCAGAACTGGGGGCACACCAGCAAGTGCTGGATGAGGTACATATAACCAAGGAGGAGGTGAAGAAGCTGCTATGCGAACTTGACACCTCAAAGGCGGTGGACCAGACAACATCTCTCCATGGGTCCTTAAAGAGGGAGCAGAGATATTGTGTGAGCCATTAACAAAGATCTTCAACACATCATTTGAAACTGGGCAACTCCCTGAGGTATGGAAAATGGCAAATGTAGTCCCAATTTTTTAAAAAAGGGAGACAGACATGAGGCACTAAACTACAGACCTGTATCACTAACGTGTATAGTATGCAAGGTCATGGAGAAGATCATCAGGAGGAGAGTGGTGGGGCACCTGGAAAGAAACAAGGGTATAATTGACAACCAGCACGGTTTCAGGGAAGGAAAATCCTGTGTCACAAACCTACTAGAGTTTTATGACAAGGGTGACAGAAGTAAGACAAGAGAGAGAGGGGTGGATCGACTGCATATTTTTGGACTGCAAGAAGGCCTTCGACACAGTTCCTCACAAGAGGTTACTGCAAAAGCTAGAGGATCAGGCACACATAACAGGAAAGGCACTGCAATGGATCAGAGAATATCTAACAGGGAGGCAACAACGAATCATGGTACGCGACGAGGTGTCAGAGTGGGCGCCTGTGACAAGCGGGGTTCCACAGGGGTCAGTCCTAGGACCTGTTTTTGTTCTTGGTATATGTGAACGACAAAAACGGAAGGGATAGACTCAGAAGTGTCCTTGTTTGCAGATGATGCGAAGTTAATGAGAAGAATCAAATCGGACGAGGATCAGGCAGGACTACAAAGAGACCTGGACAGGCTACAAGCCTGGTCCAGCAACTGGCTCCTTGAATTTAACCCTGCCAAATGCAAAGTCATGAAGATTGGGGAAGGGCAAAAGACCGCAGACACAATATATTTTAGATGGCCAAAGACTGCAAACCTCACTCAAGGAAAAAGATCTGGGGTGAGTATAACACCGAGCATATCTCCTGAGGCACACATCAATCAGATAACTGCTGCAGCATACGGGCGCCTGGCAAACCTAACGGATAGCGTTCCGATACCTCAGTAAGGATTCGTTTAAGACTCTGTATACCATCTACGTCAGGCCCATACTGGAGTATGCAGCACCAGTTTGGAATCCACACCTAGTCAAGCACGTCAAGAAATTAGAGAAAGTGCAAAGGTTTGCAACAAGACTAGTCCCAGAGCTACGGGGATTGTCCTACGAAGAAAGGTTGAGGGAAATCGGCCTGACGACACTGGAGGACAGGAGGTCAGGGGAGACATGATAACGACATATAAAATACTGCGCGGAATAGACAAGGTGGACAAAGACGGGATGTTCCAGAGATGGGACACAGACACAAGAGGTCACAATTGGAAGTTGAAGACTCAGATGAATCAAAGGGATGTTAGGAAGTATTTCTTCAGTCATAGAGTAGTCAGGCCATGGAATAGCCTAGAAAGGGATGTAGTGGAGGCAGGAACTATACATAGTTTTAAGGCGAGGTATGATAGAGCTCATGGGGCAGGGAGAGAGAGGACCTAGTAGCAATCAGCGAAGAGGCGGGGCCAGGAGCTGTGACTTGACACCTGCAACCACAAATAGGTGAGTACAAATAGGTGAGTACACACAGGCTGGACACGTGGTCCAGCCACTGGCTTCTCGAATTCAACCCTGCCAAATGCAAAGTCATGAAGATTGGAGAAGGGCAAAGAAGACCGCAGACGGAGTATAGGCTAGGTGGCCAACGACTGCAAACCTCGTTAAAGGAGAAAGATCTTGGCGTGATTATAACACCGAACACGTCTCCGGAAGCACACGTCAACCAGATAACTGCTGCAGCATATGGGCGCCTGACAAACCTGAGATTAGCATTCTGATACCTAAGTAAAGAATCTTTCAAGACACTGTACTCCGTGTACGTCAGGTCCACACTGGAGTATGCAACACCAGTTTGGAACCTGCACCGTGTCAAGCACGTTAAGAAATTAGAGAAAGTGCAAAGGTTTGCAACAAGGTTAGTTCCAGAGCAAAGGGGAATGTCCTATGAAGAAAGGTTGAGGGAAATCGGCCTGACGACACTGGAGGACAGGAGGGATAGGGGAGGCATGATAACGACATACAAAATACTGCGTGGAATAGACAATGTGGACAGAGACAGGATGTTCCAGAGAGGGGACACAGAAACAAGGGGTCACTCTTGGAAGCTGAAGACTCAGATGAGTCACATGGATGTTAGGAAGCAGTTTATCAGCTATAGAGTGGTCAGGAAGTGGAACAGTCTGGCGAGCGATGTAGTGGAGGCAGGTACCATACATAGCTTTAAGACGAGGTATGATAAAGCTCGTGGAGCAGGGAGAGAGAGGACCTAGTAGCGTTCAATGAAGAGGCAGGGCCAAGAGCTGAGCCTCGACCCTTGCAACTACAATTAGGTGAGTACAATTAGGTGAGTGCACACACACATACACACACACACACACACACACACACATATATATATATATATATATATATATATATAATATATATATATATATATATATATATATATATAAATATATATATTATATATATATATATTATATATATATATATATATATATATATATATATTATATATTATATATATATATATATATACATATATACATATATATGCAATAAGATCACAGTAAACAGGTGATTTTAAAATATGCAAAACAACCACTATGAAAGAGTAGTGAAATTCCAAACGCTTTCGTGACTACTCACATTGTTCCTTGACAATGTGAGTAGTCACGAATGCGCTTGGAATTTCACTACTCTTTCATAGTGGTTGTTTTGCATGCAATATATATATATATTTTATATATATAATATATATATATATATATATATATACAGTGGTCCCTCAATAATCGAACCGGCCTGAAAGTCGACCATTTCGGAAATCAACCGGTTTTTTCGACAAAATATTGACTCGGAAATTGACCGAAATTCGTTTATCGACCCTCTCGACCCGTCGTCCCAGACGCGTATGCACGAGGTAAGCGGGCCTCGACCGCCTCAGCCTTCCTTCCCAGCCAGTGTGCCATTGTTTACCAGTTAGCGGCGGTCCTCTCACGTGCTCCAGTGAAATATTTCATAATATTTCATTTAATTTTAGTGCTTGCAAGTTATTTTAAGTGCTAAATAAGCTACCATGGCTCCAAAGAAAGCTCCTAGTGCCAAACCTTTGGTAAAGAAGGTGAGAAATACCATTGAATTTAAGAAAAACATCATTGAACAATATGATAGTGGCGTACGTGTGGGCGAACTGGCGAGGATGTATAACAAAAAATCATTCAACCATATCTTCCATCATAGCCATGAGAAAGGAAATCAAGATGCTGTTGTTGCAAGGGGGTAAATATGCTGACAAAAATGAGATCACCAGTACTGGAAGAGGTTGAGAAGTTATTATTGGTGTGGATAAATGAGAAACAATAGCAGGAGACAGTCTTATGACCTCGATTATTTGTGAAAAGGCTAGGCAGTTGCATGAAGATTTGGTAAATAAATTGCCTGCAAATAGTGGTGAAGTGAGTGATTTTAAGGCCAGCAAAGGCTGGTTTGAGAGATTTAAGAAGCGTACTGGCATACACAGTGTGGTAAGGCATGGTGAGGCTGCCAGTTCGGACCACAAGGCGCTGAAAAATATGTGCATGAATTCCAGGAGTACATAGAGGCTGAAGGACTGAAACCTGAACAAGCGTTCAATTGTGACGAAACAGGCCTCTTCTGGAAGAAAATGCCAAAGAGGACCTTCATTACACAAGAGGAAAAGTCAATGCCAGGACACAAGCCTATGAAAGACAGGCTGACGCTAATGTTCTGTGCTAATGCTAGTGGGGGTTTCAAAGTGAAGCCGTTACTAGTGTACCATTCTGAAAATCCCAGAGCATTTAAGAAAAATAATGTTATGAAGAGTAAATTGTGTGTGTTTTGGAAATCTAATAATAAGGCATGGGTCACGAGGGAAATTTTGTAGAGTGGTTCAACGAAGTGTTTGGCCCTAGTGTGAAGAATTACCTCCTGGAGAAGAAATTGGATCTCAAGTGCCTGCTAGTAATGGACAATGCACCTGCTCATCCACCAAACTTGGATGACCTAATTCTGAAGGAGTTTGGGTTCATCTCAGTAAAGTTCTTGCCCCCGAATACCACTCCTCTCCTCCAACCCATGGACCAGCAGGTCATTGCAAACTTTAAAAAACTGTACACCAAAGCAATGTTTGAAAGGTGCTTCAGTGTGACCTCAGACACTCACTTGACCCTACGAGATTTTTGGAAAGAACATTTCAGTATTTTCCATTGTGTAAGCCTTATAGGTAAGGCTTGGGAGGGAGTGTCTACCAGGACTTTGAACTCTGCTTGGAGAAAATTGTGGCCAGATTGTGTCGACCAGAGGGATTTGGAAGGGTTTGGGGCTGACCCTGATGAGCCTATGTCAGTTTTGAACTCTATTGTGGCACTGGGGAGTTCCATGGGGTTGGATGTGAGTTTGGAGGATGTGGAAGAGTTGGTGGAGGACCACAATGAAGAGCTAACCACTGAGGAGCTGCAAGAGCTTCAGCAGGAAGAGCAACAGATCGCAGCTCAGAATCTTGCTGCAGAGGAGGAGGAAGAGAGATGGAAGAAGGTGCCTTCTTCAGAAATTAAGGAGATTTTACTATGTGGGGTAAGATGGAAAGATTTATGGAGAAACATCACCCAGAGAAGGATGTTGCAAGCCATATCGGCAACTTGTACAGTGACAGAGTCTTGGCCCATTTTAGGGAAGTTTTAAAGAGACGCCAGAAACAGAGCTCTCTGCACAGTTATTTTGCGAGACAGGACTCCAGTGACTCTCAAGCTGGTCCTAGTGGCATTAAGAAACAGAGAAAAGAAGCAACCCCAGAAAAGCAAATGGTACCTGAGGTGTTGCTGGAAGGGGATTCCCCTTCCAAACTATAAACAATCCACTCTCTCCTCCTCCTCCAGTCTCCCATACACTAAGAAGAATCTCCAATAAAGGTAAGTGTTATGCTGTTAATGTTTCATTCATCATTTCCCATTGTATTGTTTATGTACTACATGAATATTTCATGTAAAAAAATTTTTTGTTTTAATATTTCTGGGTGTCAGGAACGGATTAATTGAATTTACATTATTTCTTATGGGGAAAATTGATTCGTAAATCGACCATTTCGATAATCGACCGGCTTCCAGGAACGGATTACCGTCGATAATCGAGGGACCACTGTATATATATATATATATATATATATATATATATATATATATATATATATATATATATAATATGCATAGTCTTTGATAAACAAACTGAGGACTTACTTTCCACGTCCCTAGACCAAGTATCGGGATTGACTTCCCGTTAGAGAAGTTGATGGTGCGACCTAGAGCAGCCATTAGGAAGTGGATTGAAGGAACAAGTAGACTAGAGGAGGTATGTGTGCGTGTGTCACCCCGGCGCCTCAACTTCTGGAACAGTAAGCTTCACTCTCGCTCACTGAATACTCACCAACCACACTCTCAACCCCCAACATCATCTACCTTATCTCCAGCCCACGTAGCAGCTAACCTTGGTAAGGAATAACCAACAGTTACATCTGAATATCATGTGACTTCAGAATACTGTGACCTCCCTCACATTATGTGGCTTTATTACTGGAAGGCACAGCATCACGTGACACGAGCATTGGAAGGTAATAAGTGCGTGAGAAGAGCGCTGGAAGACGACTACAGTAGAAGGTTGAAGATATGGAATTCCGAATCAGTAAATGACGGAAGATTTCCTGAAAGTCACTTGGTCGCGATCCAGAACTAACCGAGATACCTGGTCGACCACATGGAAGGTATTCCTCGCAGAGACAGAGAACCTGTCTCAGAGCGAGAGAGAGAGAGAGAGAGAGAGAGAGAGAGAGAGAGAGAGAGAGAGAGAGAGAGAGAGAGAGAGAGAGAGAGAGAAAACCACCGCAGACACTTATAACACACAAAAATCTGTAAATTCAAATCACCTGAATCTCAATACACTATCATGTAAAATTTTGAAACACAAATGAAGCTATCCTATACTTTTGAAGGGGACTGATTAATCCAAATGGAGCTACACTTCCGAGAACAGTCAGTAAAACACACTCTACATAGTGAGCTTTCACTGGGGCAAGATTTCACTCCGCGTAGAGCATTTATCACATCATGACTTAATAAAGACCTACACAGGGTGTAACAATGTCCCAAAAAAAGCTAATACTCTGTGTTTTGTTTTCTGGAATAGCTATAAGTCGTGAGGAGTTGTGTGTGTGTCCAGCATATGGATGATCCTCATTTGCAAGGCAGATCAGCTGGGAAACGTCAACACGTGTGATATGCTGTTTGTTCCGCCTACCTTGTCACCGTTGTGTGTCATGGCTGTTTATAGCTACAAGAGCAGAACTTAGCTCATTGTGTCTTTAGTGAAGAAAAGATAACAGGCTGCAGCGACAAGCAGAGATTTAATAAAGTAATGGATATATTTACAAAACTATAAAGAGCAAAACGTTGTCCCACATGTCAGTTCTTCACTTTTGTCAGCAAAACATTTCGATTCTCCTTGTAATGTCCCGTTTCGGGGGAAGGGGTTAACATAAGAACATAAGAATGTAGGAACACTGCAGAAGGCCTACTGGCCCATACGAGGCAGGTCCTTATCAAAACGACATCTACCTAAAGCTACTCAAGAAACAACTCCCGCACCCCCCGGGTTACTCATGAATTGGGTTGGCGAGGATCGAGTCTCAGTTCCTGGGCTCCGCCTCTCGAGCCCCTATCATACCTACTCTTGAAACTGCGTAAGTCTGCGCCACATCCTCATCCAGATTATTACACTTATTTTCCCTAAGATTCCTGTGGCTCGCCTTTTTTTTTTTGCTTTCATTTCTACTTAGCATTCAATACAGTCTGTCCCTCTCTTCTCTGTTAGAGTCCATGAAGCATGTTCAACGTTGTAATTATGTCTACTTTGTTCCTTCTCTTTTCTCAGGTCTTCTGTGTCAGTTTTTTTGTTTTATTTTTTTTTTAGTCTCTAATAATCAGATCCCTTCAGCTTCAGGATTAATTTTGTTGCAAACTAATGGACCTTCTTGAGTTTAATAGACATACCTGACTTGCTGCTATCTCTGTACACTAGTAGTCGCTGGTCTTGCTACTCATGGTTTGTGTGTATGGATGATGGTGGGTCTCTGGAGCACGTTACCTTTGCCCGAACGTATTTACACAGGCTTCCCGCAGTCTCAATAAAAGCCTGGGATACGATGAAACAACACTCGCCCAAGCTTTCTCCATTATCTCTCCACAGTCTCTCCCTTTCGCCACCAGCTTGTTTCTCTTTCGTTTCATCAACTCTCCCCTCTGTCTCTCCCTCACTCTACCAGCTCTCTATCCACCACCTGAGACACAGCTCTGAATAGTATTGACAAGGTGACGGTTTCACACCGGTTCTTCGTACTCAGTATCTGGTTTCACAGAAGTGGTGAAAAGTAATTATGTTTGTCTTTGAATGACTGACTGTGTCTGCACATTCTCGACAGCTTGTATTGACATCTGTCTGTCTGTCTGTCTGTCTGTCTTGCAGTGTACTCAGCAGGTAGAAAGCCGTAGTGACTAGACGCTCAGGAAAAACGGTGCATGAAAAAGCTAGCCACTCTTTTGGTTTATAATCATAACCATAATTTTTAAAAGAGTGGACCGGTAAGCCAGTGGAAGGCCTCTGTCAGATGACCAAAAGCTCCAGGTGCGGGTCATCATATGACTAACACTTGAGTAATGAAAGACTTGTCCTGTTTCCGGACAAACCTTGCCAAACCTACCTACTGTACTCGCCTATTTGTGCTTGCAGGGGTGGATTCTCAGCTCTTGTCACTTCCTACTATCTCTTCATATGCTGGATTTACTCCCTCATTTCCTGACAACTCTAAGGCTGAAGAAATACTTCCTAACATCCCTCTGACTCAGTTGAGTTTTCGACTTCCAGTTGTGTCTGTCCTCTTGTTCCTGTTTCCCCATTTCTGACACATTCTGTCCCTGTTCACTTTGTCAATTCATCTCAATATTTTGTACGTCATCTTATCCCCCCTAGTCCTGTCCTTCAGCACTACAGACCACTACCCGATAGCACTACAGACCACTACCCTACCTTCCTCCTGACAAACATTAGTAAACCACCACTTGAATACAACAAAGTCTCATTTAGACTCCATGACGAGGCCTCAATAAGGAAGTTCACAGCTGACCTAGAGATTGTTGACTGGCCTACAGAATTCTCCAAGGCCAATGGTATTGATGACTGGACAGACATTTTTCTTAACAAATTACTTAGACTATACAACAAACATTGTCCTATAAAACGAAACAGATCACAAACAAACGGCTTGGTTGCCCATGGCTAACCAGCACCATTCTGAAATCCATTGACAAGAAACACCAATATGAAAAGCAATATAGACAGGGCTTAATACACAAAGATATTCTGAAACACTATTCATCAGTTCTCACCAAAGTAATAAAGAAAGCCAAACAACTCTACTACTCCAGTAGATTCACAGACACTAGAGGAGATATAAAAAAAGACCTGGAAAACACTCTCTCAGATTCTAGGCACCCACAAACTGAAAAAAAAACAAGAATATTGTCCTAACTAAACCTAATGAAACACCACTACATCCCACTGACACAGCTAACAAGATAAACGACTTCTCAACCATAGGATCTAATCTCGCCAATAAAATCCCACATACCAGTGCCCATGCCGGGGACTACCTAGATGGAAATTTCCCAAATTCCTTCTATCTTGCACCAACTGAGCCCTCGGAAGTCACCGAGATTATAAAATCACTTAAAAACAACTCAGGGAATCTGTCTAATGTCCCACCATTACTGTACAAGCGAGCGGCCCATATCCTTTCGCATGCTATTTCATTACTTTTTAACAAGTCACTAGAAACTAGCACCTTTCCGAAACTACTCAAGATGGCAAGGGTTACACCAATACATAAAGGTGGTGACCCTACAGACTTAAACAACTATAGGCCAATATCAAACTTACCATTGTTATCCAAAATCTTTGAGAAACTCGTGCACAGGAGACTATATTCATTTATAACAGCACAAAACATACTCAACCCCTACCAAGTTGGATTTAGGAAAAATAAAAGCACTAATGATGGAATCATAAAAATGCTAGATCTGCTTTACACAGCATTGGAAAATAAGGAATATCCACTAGGAATTTTTATTGACCTAAGAAAAGCTTTTGACACAGTAGACCACGACATCCTACTCCACAAACTTCACCATTACGGTATAAGAGGCCATGCGCTTGCTTATTTCAAATCTTACCTTACTAATAGGTATCAGTATGTTACCATTAAAGACACAGCATCAACAACACGGCCACTTGATACTGGAGTTCCGCAGGGAAGTGTCCTTGGTCCCCTGCTCTTCCTCATATACATCAATGATCTTCCAAACGTATCCCAACACCTGAAACCCATTCTCTTTGCTGACGACACGACTTATGTCATCTCTCACCCTAATCTTGCCACCCTCAACACCATTGTTAACGAGGAGCTGATCAAAATATCGACTTGGATGACAGCCAATAAACTTACGCTTAACACTGACAAAACCTACTATATTATGTTTGGTAGCAGAGCAGGAGATGCACAAATTAACATTAAAATCGACAACACTCTAATTACCAGACATAATGAGGGCAAATTCCTAGGCCTATACCTTGACAACAACCTGAATTTCAGCACCCATATCCAACACATAACCAAAAAAGTATCCAAAACAGTTGGGATCCTCTCCAAGATACGATACTACGTGCCGCAAAATGCCCTTCTCACACTATACCACTCACTTATTTATCCATACCTCACCTATGCTATTTGTGCTTGGGGATCAACTGCAGCAGCACACCTAAAGCCAATAATAACCCAACAAAAAGCTGCAGTAAGAATAATCACTAAATCCCATCCCTGGCAACACCCCCCCCCACTCTTCATAGATCTAAATTTACTCCCTGTTCAGTACATCCACACTTACTACTGTGCAGTCTACATCTACAGGACCTTAAACTCCAATATCAACCTTGACCTAAAACGCTTTCTTCATAGTTGTGACAGAACCCACAGGCATAACACCAGACACAAACATCTCTACGACATTCCCCGTGTCCGACTAAACCTTTACAAAAATTCAATGTATGTCAAAGGCCCTAAAATCTGGAACACCCTACCTGAGAACTCTAGAACTGCAGACACATTCATCACCTTCAAAACTACCATTAGAAAACATCTTATCTCCCTGATACACCCCATCAACTAACTACACGAATGCCACCTGGTGGTTCACACTTTCACTCACCCATTTGACCATAAACAGAAATATTAATCTCAATCTTAAAATAATGAATCCTATGATACTCCAATACTGAAACTATGTACTGTGCCAAAACAAAAGCATTCATATTGCTTAACTCAC